TATAATATAATAAAATAATAAAATGATTAATAAAACTTGAGGCCAAAGGTGCTGCTATCGGGACCGATGGGGATGGTCCCCTATAACTTTTTTCCTTTTTTTTTTCTCTTTCATTTTAAATTTTTTATTTTTTATTCCTTATTTAGTTTTTTTTTTAATTTTTAGTCTTAATGCATTTTTAATTGCAATCATAATCAAACATGTAAACTCTTACACCCTAAATGTCGAATTCTCAAATATCTAAACACTAACATCTTCACCACTGAATTTGAAAAACTTTAAATTCTAACAATCTAAACGCTAAATTTTAAAAAATTTAAATTTTAATATCTTAAATTCATATTAAATATTAAACCTTTACATTACTATCATTAAACCCTAAAAAATCTAAAATTTATTGCCGTAAATTAAAATAATTTTGTTTGATTTGAAAGACTTAAATGGTGTCTTTTAAATTTAGGAGCTTAAAAGTTATAATGTTAGAAACTTGAGGAGTTAAGATGTAGTTGCGCCTTGTCATGTATATATGAAAGGGAACGGGGATAGGAGACTTCATCGGCATAGGGGTTACAAATTTAATTAGGGTTTATCGGACCTTTACTCTAAAAATATAATTAAAATGTTTTTTTAATATTAATTAGTATGAAAAATAATAAAAATCAATATTAATTTTATAATTAATGTTATACATATTATTTTAATTAGACAATTAATCAAATAAATAGTTAACTTTATTTTTTAATGATAGTTAATATTAAAAAAGTATTCTTAACTTGTACTTTTATGTATTCTTAATTTGTACTTTTAAGGTATAGATTAAAAAAATAATTAAAAGTTAAATTAAAGCTATAATTATTAAATTATGAAAGTTTAAATTTAATTTGAATTTGATATAAAGTTTAAAAGTTGAATTAAATTTGGGTAATATATAATTTGAATTAGAATATAAGACTCTTAAATTTAAGTAGGTTTTAAACTTCTAAAAGAGGTTGATTGAGTATTTATTTGAGATTTTATGAGTATTTTGAAGAAATTTAATAAAGATTTTAAAAGGATTTATTCAAGATTTTAAAAGCTCTCTGTTAAGTATTTATTCTAGATTTATTAATAATTTTAATAGTTTTTATAATATAATAAA